ATAAAACAACATGTGTACTACTGTTTCATGAGAAACTATTTGTTCTGTAAGCCTTCACCTGAAGTACAATAAAATATTTTTTAAAAAAAATTAGTAAAATTTCAACTTTCCAATTCAATCTCAGATTGATCTCCCCAATCCAGATTTCCTGGGTGGTGACTGGAAAAATCCCAGAAGGGCCCAGGTGGCCACTGTCATAGGCAGCCACTTCCCTCTCCAGAGCTTCCCAGCCCACCTCCCAGGGGTGGGAATTTGCACCTAACAAGGCTATGTGGCCTCTCCTTGTGAGAGGGTTCCAGAACTTTCGTCCGCAAAATGAGGCTTTGGGTGTGCTGGTACGCAGCGCACTCAGCAGGACCCAAATGCACTGGCTGGAAGTTTTGCATTGTTCTAACTGTTGTAAAACCTCCACAGGGATCTTAGCATTAATACTAGGTATTCCCGCCCCTTGCATAGTTCCAATAGCATCTGCACCACCGAGAGCCATAGGTGCGATTCACCATAACCCTGGGGGTCTGAGGAGCGAAATTGCTGGCAACAGCTGCAAGGAAAGCAGAGGTGGCACGAGACCTTATGCCAGGGAGCCATTATCTTCCATCTGGGGAGTCACTCCTCCGTCCCTCTTGGTACAAAGCTGCCCGAGACACAGGAGTAAACCGTATGGCCAACACCAGGACACATGGAACGCCCAGACCCAGGGGACATGGCGCAAGCTTACGTTGCCTAAAGGTGTGCTCACACCTGGGCCCTTCTGTCCTCGGAAATTATCCAGTTAAATTGTTTCCGTCCTATTATTATCATGGAGTTCCTGGCTCCAAATAATTTAGGTAAGGTCAAGATAAGGCCTGCTCCAGCAAACACACCAGCGAGCACATCCAGCAAAGGCGCCAGCACACCAGCAGGTGAAGATCCGATTCGTACCCAGTGAGCAAGCCAAGAGCAGTCCCCCAGACAGGCTACCCAGGAGTCGGGAGGTCATGGCCTAGTCATCCTGCTCACAGTGCCAATTGGTTTAAATGTTTTCCTTTAGTAAGTCCTTTGATGGCAGGACACAGTACATGGACACCCCGGACAGCAGAAGCATTATGAGCGTACTCACGGTTGAGAGCGAAGGGCTGCCACGCAGGGCCACACAGGGGGCTCACCTGGGGAGCAGGGCTACAGAACGGCTTTCGGTGGAGACCAGGGGCTTTTATCACAGGACTATTTTGATGGTACGAAGGACAGGGAACAGGCTCTGGACTGGGGAGTTTAAACTATATCAACAGTTCAGTAGGGGAACTTTGGATTAGGCCCTGCCCACAGAGGCTTGAGTTTGGGGCATTTGCAGGTGCTGTGGTGATGTGGAGAGGAGCCCTGGTGGCGCAGTGGTTAAGTGCTAACCGGTGAACCAAAAGATTGGCGGTTGGAACCCACTAGCTGTTCGGGGACGGAAAGATGTGGCAGTCTGCTTCCATTACAGCCTTAGAAACATCATAGGGCAGTTCTACCCTGTCCTATACGGTCACTATGAGTTGGAATCAACCTGATGGCAACAGAAGAGTGGCGATATGGGGAGTGGGTTTGTTTGGTTTTTTTTTTGGCAAGTTGCTTTGGCTTGTTAACAGCATGTAGCAGGGTGTGGGTTTGCTAGGGATTGGTTGAGGATGTAAACTGGTTTTCAGGATGAGGAACAGTATATGTATTTATATAAACCTATTGCCTTTGAGTCAATTCTGACTCACAGTGACACTGTAGCACAGGGTAGAACTGTCCCCTGTGGTTTCCAGGTTGTGATCTTCACAGCAGACTGCCACATCTTCCTCCCGCACAGCGGCTGGTGTGTTCAAACCACCCACAGTTCACAGCCCAGCGTTTAACATTTATTGATTTATATATGTTTATAGCTTAAAGATTTGGACTCAAGATGAGTCAAAAACCCAAACCCATTGCCTTTGAGTCAATTCCAACTCATAGTGACCCTATAGGATGGAGTAGAACAGCTCCACAGTGTTTCCAAGGCTCTAATCTTTATGGAAGCAGACTGCCACATCTTTCTCCCGCACAGTGGCTGGTGGGTTAGAATCGCCGACCTTTCGGTTTGCAGCCGAGCGCTTATCCACTGCACCACCAAACCAAAAAAAAAAAAAAAAAAACAAATCCACTGCCATAGAGTCAATTCCAACTCATAGTGACCTTACAGGACAGACTAAAACTGCCCCATAGGGTTTCCAAGGCTGTAAATCTTTACAGGAACAGACTGCCACATCTTTCTCCCTAGAAGCAGCTGTGGGTTCGAACTGCTGAACTTTCGGTTAGCAGTCAAGTGCTTATCTACTGTACCACCAGGGCTCCTAAAAGATGAGTCAAGGCATCACTGAATGGTCATATATGTTACAGTCATCAAGCGACTCTTTCAGCAAGGGTCTATGAGTATGTAATTAACTTTCTCTGTCTCAAATTGTTTTATTTTACCCTCACTCTTATTCTTTTTTTAACTTTTTACTGATGTATAATATATACATATACACAATCCATTAGTGTACAGCTTATGAATGTTTGCCCCAATCACTACCTAGATTAGGAAATATAAGCCCCCTCCCAGGCACTACCCTCACAACTTCCCCAAAGGTAACTGACACCCTAACTTCTATCAGAGTAGATTGGTTTTGCCTGAGTTTGTTTTTATGTAACCAGAATCACAGAGTATGTACTGCTGTGTCTGGCATCTTTTGAGCAATATTGCCTTTTGGAGATTCATCCATGTTGTTGCATGTAGCTGCAATTTGTTAATTCTGTTGCTGGATAAAATTCTATTTTATGAATATGCCACAATTTACGTATCCATTCTACTGTTGATAGACATTTGGGTTGTTTCCATTTTTTGACTATTACTTATGATACTTCTATGAACATTCTTGCACTTGTCTTTTGCTACACATATATGCAAAACTCTGTTGGGTAAATACTCAAGAGCGAATCACTGACTCAGGGTACATGTGTACATGTTCAGCTTTCACAGAAACTGTCGAACAATTTTTCAAAGTGATTGTCTAATTTCTACTCTACCAGCAATGTATGAGTGTTTCAGTTTCTCTACACCCTCACCAGCCCTTGGCATTGCCATTTGTATGAATTTTCTAGGGCTGCTCTAACAAAGAACCACAAACTGGTGGCTTAAAACATGAGAAATTTATTGTCTCACAGTTCTGGAGGCCAGCAGTCCAAATTTAGGGTGTCAGCAAGGTCATGCTCTCTCCCAAGGCTCCAGGGGAAGATCCTCTCCTGTCTCTTCCAGCTTCTGATAGCCCCAGGCGTTCTTTGGTTTGTAGATGCATCTTTACTAGCGGTACTTTCTCTTTGTCTCTGTGTCCCTTCTCTTTTATGAGATGCTACTCAGATTGGGAGCCCTGGTGGCACAGTGGTTAAGAGCTACAACTGCTAACCGAAAGGTCGGCAGTTTGAATCCACCAGCTGCTCCTTGGAAACTCTACAGGGCAGTTCGACTCTGTCTTATAGGGTCGTATGAGTTGGAATCAACTCGAGGGAGGTAACTCCAGTCTTAATTTAACTGATAACATCACAAAGACCCTACTTCCAAACAAGGTCACATTCATAGGTACAGGAGTTAGGACTTCAACATATCTTTACAATCCTTAACACCATTCAATTCAATCCATTCAATCCACAATTCAATTCATAACACCATTCTTTTTAATGTTAGCCTTTCTGATGGGTATATAGTGGCAGCTTATTATGGTTTTAAATTTCATTTCCCTGAAGACTAATGGGATTAAGCTCCTTTTCATATGCTTATTGGCCATTTGGACACGCTCTTCTGTGAAGTGTCCAAATCTTTTGCCTATTTTTCCATTGGATTATCTGCCTGTTTGTTCGTGGTTTGTAAGAGTTTATTACACATTCTGCTGAGTCCCCTTTTTGGATATATGTATTGTAAATATCTTCTCCATCTCTGTAGCTTGCATTTTCCTTCTGTTAGCATGTCTTTTGATGCACAAAAAGCTTTTAACTTTAATGTAGGCCGATTGATTGACCTTTTACGGTTAGTGTTCCTTGTGTTCCGTTTAACAAATCTTTTCCTACCCCAAGATCATGAAGGTGTTTCCATCTTTTAGAAGCTTTGTTGTTTTACCTTTCACATTGCCTCTTTTTTTTTTTGGTAGGACAGCTAAGGTTTACTTAAAGGGCAAGAGTTGACACTGTTGTTATTGTCGTTGTGTGCCATTGACAATTCAGACTCATAGCAACCCTATAGGACAGGGCAGAACCGCAGAGGGTTGCCAATGCTGTAATCTTTACGGGAGCAGATCACCAGGTCTTTCTCCTACAGAGCAGCTGGTGGGTTTGAACTGCTGACCTTTCAGTTAGCATCCAAGCTCTTAACCTTTGAGATTGGTGGTGAGATAGTGATGTATTGGGAAGGGGGTGGGGGCAGGGTTTCCACCCGTCTGGTAGCTCCTTGCCTAAAGGTCACAGGATGTGAAAGTTCCTCTGATCCTTGTTTATGGCATTCCAGATAATGAAACCCAGCTTGGATTTAAAATTCTTCCAGGAAGTGTCAAAGTTGAAGAGCCCAGGAGACCTCTGAGACTTCTGATAATTGCCTTGGGAGCTCCCAAAGACGCAACTGCCCTCTTGGCTTACTTTCCTGACTTCAGAGTTGCTGAGGCCTTCCTGTTACTGCAATAACGCAGATTGGAGCCGCCTGCCACAATAGCCAATTCTGAGACAGGGGTGAGGTGAGCAGCAAGATGTTTATTATACATCGATATATAGGAGACAGAGGCGAATAGATTCCTCCAAAAAACCCGTCTCCCCCACTGGAGGTCGGCTGGAGTCTTTTATAGGGACAGGGTTATGGATCTTCTGTGGTAGTTAGGATGTCTTAGATGAGTTAACCTTCCACTGGTATTCTTAGAGGTTATCTGGTGACATCTTTGGGGATTATCTGGCGACATCCTGCTTTTTCTTGTCACAAGATGGGTGCTTTGTTTGGTTTTTCATCCTTAGATCATTATCACTTGTTTTCTACCCTCCAGGGAGGAACATCAGTTAATCTTAAACATTTTTGTAGAGACTGGAGAAAAAAAGATCAAGAGACAATGTGGCGGTTAGCAATGGGGGAGTAAACAATAGTGAGCCGGGCCTATGCAGGCTCTTCCATTCCTGTCCTCTGAATCCTAACCCCGAAATCTTCCAGACACGCAAACTTTGTTCCCGGGGTTGTCGCACTCGGGTTTATTTCCACCACCACTTCCACTGCTGCTGCTTGAGGAAGAGCTGGTGTTGGATCCTGGGAGCCTAAGTAGCTGCCTTGATCAAAATTTCTACTACTGTCTAGGGTCAGTCCCAGCTGGCCCCTGAGTTGCTGCTGCCACTGTTGCCACCACTGCGGCTCCACTGTGAGCTAGTACTTCCCCCAAGCCAGACGGTGAGGGGTTGATGCACTTAACATTCTGGTTGCCGATGCTGCCTCTCTCACTGAGTCATCACTAGCCCGGGCCATAGGTTCCAAAGTTGAATGACCCTCCATTGCCTCCTTGACCCCAGGAGCCTCCCTGAGAGTTGATTCCAAAGCCGCCACTGAGCTGCTGGGGTATCCATGGCCCAGGGAGTCCCTGGATCTCCAGGATTGCCCTGGCTATGGCCTCTGAGGCTGCCCTGAGAGCCAGAGATGCCAGGAGCTCCAGATGGAGGCTGTCACTGCTGCCGGGCACACCTGCCAGTAGCCGTGGGCAGCATCTATTCCATGTCAGATGATATCCTCAGCCTGTTTGCCAACCTCACTCCCACTGTTTTCAAGAGCATAGGCTGCTTCCCTGACCCTGAGGTTGATGGCCTCCCCGACCTCGTGGCCAGTGGCATCTCCCATCCCAGGGCTCATAGCCTCCCTGACTCCAGAGCTGGCCACCTCTCCAACCCCTCAGCCAATGGCCTCCCCAACTCCATGGCTAATGGCATCTCCCATCCCATGTCCAATAATCTCCCCAGCGTTCGCTCCAGCACTCTCCCCACCTCTCACCAGTAGGCCAGCCTCCTTGTTGCCCAGGCACAGGGCCAGCAGGAGGCAGGCCAGGGACCCCTGTAACTTCATTTCTGCCTTGTTCCTTCTCACTTTCCTGAGCGTCTCCCCCTTCTCCCCACCTAAGTTTACTTCTTTCTGCCCTTTCTTCTCCTTTGCCTCTGTGTGCCCACCTCCATTCTCTTCTTCCTTCTAACCTCTTGTTCCTCCCTCTCTCTGGGTCTGCAACCCTCTCCCTCCTTTCCCAGATTCCTCTGGCTTCCCTCACATTGATTTTTTTTTTTATTTACAAATTTAAAAATTTCATTGTTACTTTCCATAAGAGATACATCAGCTTATACTTCGTAAATAATATGTACATGTCCACTTAGCTATATCCTTAATAATATTGTATTTTTGAGAATTTTTAAAGGTCTAGTTGGATTTCACTGTGGGAAGAATAGAGAAGGATGTCTTTTAATTTGCAATCAAATCTGGGATAGGTTTATGATACAGAACAAAAATAGAGGTTTTCCTTCTATGTAACCAGTTGCTACGGAGTCAATTCTGATTCATGGTGACCCCATCCATGTATGTCAGACTAGAATCTCTAACATTGATTTTTTTCTTTTTTCTTTTTTCTAGCACTTCTTAGTGGTATCATTTACTTTGGTCAAGCTGTGCTCATTACCTTACATTCGATGTTACTTTTTCCCATCACCCATCCCTGCTTTCCACCAATGAACATTGGTTTGTGTACATATATACATATACAAATATATACATATATATTCTTGTCTTTGTATAGAAGTGGAATCACACAATATTTGTCCTTATGTGATTGACTTATTTCACTCAGCATTATGTCCTCCAGGTCCATCCATGTTATAATGTGTCACTGACTCATCATTGTTCTTTATGGTTTCATAGTATTCCATTGTACCTCATTTTGCTTATTCTTTCATCACTTGATGGACACTTACTTAGGTTGTTTCTTCTTTTTTTTGCTATTGTGAATAAAACTGCAATGACATAGGTATGCATGCCGTCCATGTTAGGAGATCTCTAGGATATATATCTAGGAGTGTGATCGCTTGATCATAAAGTATTTCTATTTCTAGTTTTTTGAGAAAGCGCCATACCGTTTTCCATAGTGGTTATACCATTTTACAGTCCACAGGCAATGAATAAGGGTTCCAATCTCCCCACATCCTTGCCAACATTTGTTGTTATCTTTTTTGGGTTTTTTTATCAGTGCCATTTTAGCTGGGGGTAAGATGGTATCTCACTGAAATTTTGATTTGCATCTCTCTGATGGCTAACAATTGTGAACATCTTTTCATATGTTTGTTGGTTGCTTCGATGTCCTCTTTGGTGAAGTCTCAGTTCCCTCACATTGATTCTTTGATGCACCCTGATTTCAGGTGTGTTAAAATGTGAAAAACAATGTGTATCCAAGAATTGATAAAATAACATTACTTTGTAAACTTCATTTTTTAACTTAGAAATTTGTGGACATTTTTCTCTGCTGTTAAATATTATTCTACAAGACGTTTTTCAATCACAGTCCATCCCCTAGAGCAGGAGCTGTAGAATCAGACAAGCCTGGTTAATGTTCTGGCTTTATCTCTCACAAGCTGTGTCACCTTCAGCAAGTTATGTAAATGGGAAGGGCCTTGATCCTGAACTGAGCTGGGTACATAGTTGAATCTCAATTCAAAGTTAATAATTGATTTAGAAGCTTTACATCAACTGAAACAGTGGATTGTTAACTCTAGAACAATCTTATTTATACGTTAAAATCTCCTAAAGACCTAGGATAGGGCACATTTTGTGAGTTCATGGTCTTATTGTATGTGACTAAGAACAATAAATTACATCAAAATGAATGCCCTGTGGTAGCTGAAAACTAAAGTCAGGGTTGGCAATTGAACCACTTAATCAAATCCTCTTATCAGATTACCAGATTATTCTTTATCAGTAAGTAAAGCTAGTGGTTAAGAGAGGACTCTAACTTTATCTTAGGTGGTTACTTTGAGAGGAGAGTTGCTTAACTTCTCTGTGCCTTACCTTATCATCTAGAAAATGGGTACAGTAATAATTTAGTACCAACCTCATGGTGATGTCCTGAAGGTTAAATGAGTACTTATTGGAGTAAGGACAAAGCAAGTGATAAGTGATCGATAATGGCCACCTGCGGTGCAGCAAATTACTTAACATGATCTTTCTAGCCATAGTCTTTGTGACTCCCACACAATGATTTGGTGGAACTATGCAAATAAGATGTATAGAACCTGTGACGGTTAAGGTTATGTGTCAAGTTGACTGAGCCATGATTTTCAGTGATTTGACAGTTATGATGTAATTTGGCAGTTATGTAATGATGTAGTCATCCTCCATTTTGTGATCTGATGTAATTAGTCTCCATTTTGTGATGTGTTATAAATCCTAGCCTCTATGCCTGTGGTTGTGGTCTCGTTTGGGAGTGAGTTTTCGGTTATGTTAATGAGGCAGGATTAGAGTGAGATATGTCTTGAGTCACCACCCTTACCCCAGTCGCCACAGTTACCACCCTTATTCAAGTCATGCCTTACTTGAGTCACACCTTTTATCTTACAAGTGATAAAAGGAGAGAGAATCAAGCAGATAGAGGGGACCCACTACCACCAAGAAGAAGAGCTAGGGGCGGAGAACGCCCTTTGGACCCAGGATCTCTGCACTGAGAACCTCCTAGACCCAGGAGACACACAGCTGTAACGCTGGAGACAGTGCAAAATGGCAAGAAGCGGCAGCAAGTGTGGCAGAAAACCAGCAGTAGCAAAACCAGGAGACGGGTGCAAGACGGCACAGTGGGTTTCGTGGCCCATGGAGCGAGGCAGCTACAGTGGGTGTGCTGACCCATGGAGTGAGAAAGCTGAGCACCTGTGGGCCGAGGCTTACTAGTGGAGTGGGGTGCCCCCAGGCACTTATTAGAGGAGCTAAAGAGATTTGTAACACTTGCCAGAGCAGAGCAGAGGCTGAGCCAAGGCATCAAGGGCTGGAGAGAGAGGCCTACCTGTTGGCACAGCTGAGAAGAGGCTGTTATGTTCGAAGAATTGTATCTTGAATCGTTTCTGATCCAGAATTGTAACCTGCTACTTCCCTAATAAACCCCATAATCAAGAGAACTGTGAGTTCTGTGTTTCCACTGCAACAAATTACTGAACCCAGCAGAGAAGTAGAGAGTGCTGTGGGAGGGATGGTTGATGTCAGGATTGGTAAAAAAGTTGGAGACAGAAGGCATATCTGACCTCCCCCTCCTAGGAATCAGCCTTGGACTGTTGATGCTGATAATGATTCTCTCTCCCCCTCCTGAAGTTAAAGGAAATCAAATGTGGCCTCCATGCCATTTTTACACCACCATTATCCTCACCCTTGGTGGGATGCAGGAGCGGTAAGATTTGGACTTGTGTAAGGCAGCTCTCTTGGATACTGCTGTGGTGAGACCAAAAGGCTGGGGTAGAACTTGGGCCTTGTTCAAGTGGGGTAGGTGAAGGATACTGAAAATCAAGCAAAATGGCTAAAGACAGACTTCCTGAAATCAGTTTGTCCAGGGAGGTGCTGGTAAGCGTTTAACAACCAGCTCTGTGGGGAAAGGGGTTGATTTGTAGCATTTGCTGATTTCACTGGTGTAAATACTTCCAGCATGGCCAATTTCAAGCTACCAACATGGCATCATTGAATAGAGTTGTATAGTATTTCCACTACATAGTATTTTCCACCATACAGATCCAATAGACATAAAAATGCTCAGGAGCATAGATACTAATAAAATGTAGTAAAATAATTAGGAACTGATGAGTCTTGAGGCTTTTAATATAATTTTATATACAATATAATTTATTTATATATTATAGGAGCCCTGGTGGCTCAGTGCTTAAGTGCTCAGCTGCTAACTGAAAGGTCAGCGGTTCGAACCCATCAGCTGCTCCTCAGGAGAAGTCTGCTTCCATAAAGATTTACAGTCTTGAAAACCCTATGGAACAGTTCCATTCTGTCCTATAGGTTCGCTATGAATCAGAATCAACTCAGTGGCAATGGGTTTTTTAATATAAATTATAATATAGTTTATTATGATATAATTATATATTTTATAATTCTAATATAATTTATTTAACATTTATATTTATTTAATATAATATAATTTATACAAATTTTATTTATCTAAGTCAAATTTAATATTATTTATTTAATATAATTTATTTAATTGTAAGTTTATATAACTTAATTTTTAATAATGGCTATGTTTAACAACCAGCTTGCAAAATTCCTGAAAATTTAATAACTGGCTTTCATGAGCCTATGTAAGCTGGCTCTGACCACCACTGAACTAGTCCATGGGTTCTGTTTTGGAGCCTTAATCATGGGCAAATAGTATCCATTTTTTAGTTCAGGACCCAACAACTGGGCAAGGACTAAGGGCAGGTTCAGTGTACATCTCAAGGACCAAGGCTCGTTTGCCTGGTAACCGTGTCCCTTCCCCCAGCACACAGTCCCAGAAGGTGACCTTTTCCTTCCCCAGCTCCAGGTTGTTTAACATTGCAATCCACCAGCACCTCCTCCACTTAAGGACAGACTATCTTGGGAACGTCCTGGGACCTGCACGCAGGGCACCCGGCCAGCCATTCACTGAATACACCCAGTCAGGTGCTCCCAAGGTCGTCCACATGGCTGGAAGGAGAGCAGCAGCCTTGGGAAGGGACTGCCCACTGACTCTCAGCCCCATGACAGCTGCATTCTTGGATTAGAAGCGCCTTTGACAAATCCACTCACCAGTCCATTTCCCTCAGGTGTTTAAAAATCTAGATCCAAACTACCATTTCTCAGTTTAACCCCATTTCTCTCTATTGCTTTTCTATCTCTGCTAATAATAACAGAAATAGTAATAACGTTAACACTACATGCATTGTGTGCTTTCTCCGGAATTATCCCACTTACTCCTCATAACAACTCAATGAAGTAACTACTATTCTTATCCCAGTTCTGTAGATGAGAACCCAGGACTTTGGAGGTGTGCTAACTTGCCCGTAGTCGTATGGGAAGGATCCAAAATT